TTTTATTTTTTATGTATATTATATTCTTATTTATAATTAAAATTTTGATAAAAAGCTATAATAAAATATCATATATATTCATAATGTTGTCTTAGATTTATTTAAAATCATATTTATAGTAATTAATATATATATAATAATTTATATAACAAAAGAAGAGCATAACAATATAAAAAATAGAAAACATTTCAAAAAGTTTAGTGCCATGCCACATGTGATCACTGCTCCATGTGTGTCAAGAAAAATTGTCATCTCTGTGCCATATGGCTTATCGAGCCTTTCGGGCCGGAAATAACATCAAGTCCTACTTTTGATTACTTTTTAAAAGTTGTGGGACTATGTGTGACTTTCACTATCATGCGGGACAAAAAATGGTACCACCCTTAACCTGTAGGGCTAGTTTTGAAATTTTTCCCAGATTTTAATTACTATTCTCCCTCCTATTACTATCTACCGTCTCTTTACAATTTTGCCCTTTTATTTTTTTTAAATATGATTCTCTTTCTTACTATTCTTTCCAACCGAAACTGTTGCCTCGTTGCGCACCTCCGAAAAAATGGAAAATCGTAGCCAAAGGGGAGGCTAGGTCTCATGATTCCTCCGGTATATTTTCTTTTTATTTGTTTTTTTCGATTTGTACATATTTTTTTACGAATTTTTAAAATTTTTTGTTCGACGGCTAGCGGGCGTTGCCGACCGCAAGAGGCGTGGCCGATTTCGCAGTCGGTTTCGCTGTTTTATTCGGTCGTTTGGTTGTTTATTCGGCTGAATGGCTGTTTTCTAACTTTGTCTGTTTTTGTGAATATATGTGATTCCTATCGTTTTGAAAAAAAAAAGGAAAATCTTCAGAAAAGAGTGAAGTATTTTATTAGTTGCAAAATATTATACGACTTAGTTTAAATGAATTCTTAGACAAAAATTCTGTGGACCACTCTGTTTTTTTTTTCTAAGACAATAGAAAATATTTTCACATGAAAGGACGTATTTATTTGAGATTTTAAGAGACATTTTTAAGATTTTTAAGTTTTTGACATTTAAGAGGAATCTTTATAAATTAATATGAAAGATGAGATGCAGTAACATTTAAGAGGAATCTTTATAAATTAATATGAAAGATGAGATGCAGTAGAAAATCTATAAATTAATACTCGATAAATTAATAATCTCTCTAAAACAATCCCGACTTGGGCCAATGTAAAAATTATAAATTTTAATAAAATAGTAAGATAATGATTTTTAGAGAGACAATATATAGTCCCGTCTAAATTAGTGATTCTCTAAAATTACAAATATAATTAAGACAATTAAGTAAAATACGAATCTATTGTTTTTTGTCTTTTCATGACAAATCTAAATTGATTCCATCCTTAATTTTTTTCATTGCATTCAAAAGCTCCGAGTCATACTCTCAAACTGCAACAAAAAGTTTTTGAAGAGTTGTGGTTACTATTAGTGTTTCCTTCTGTGTGATTGGTTCCAAAAGTACTGAATCATCAACTTTATCCTCATTAGAATTTCCAATGACACTATCCACAATTTCTTCTAAGCTTTGGACCTTTAAACATCTATCATGTTCAACTGGGTAATCTAATAATTGATTGACATCCATTTTATTGTGGTAACCCAAATCCAATCATTTTCTCAAGTTCACAAATGATTTCTTCAAAAGCCATTTTATTAGAGCTACTTAAGGTTGATTAATCCCCAAACGATTTGCAATGTCGAAAACAAATCTACTTGCTCCCCAAGTACAAACTATATTTGCCAAAACTTATATTTGCTAAATCGTGAAAGCACTCTTTAAGTTAATAAATTATTAATTTATTGATTAATTAATATCTCTCTAAGTTAATAAAATTTTATTGTCCAAACATTATTAATTTATAGAGATTTTACTAATGTGTACTAAAGCCATAGATAAGAACCCCTTACCCTTCATACCTGATGCCCTTATATGTCTTTGTATTGTAGAACTTTACCTTAAATACAGGCCAAAACCAGAACTACCAAATTTACTATTACAGCTCCAAAATCTTTCTGGTTTCTAAAAAAAAATAAAATAAAATAAAATAAAATAAATAAACTGCTGCAATAACATTTACACAAATGTAATATGTGTCCAAAATAAATCAACCACAGATCTATTCACATATTTCCAAAGAGCAAGACATCAGTGTCTTTCACAATAGCAGTGGCACAACGCGATTCCTAAGCCTTTATAACAATTTCACCTTGAGCACCTGCTAAAGCAAGCGGTTAAACTAATAAATTAACAATAATAATAATAATAATAATAATCAACAATGAAAAAGAAAATATTTGTGATTAAATTACTTTGATCAAAACAGTAAGAGGCAAACTGGAGTAGGGATTCCATTTCTTCGGCTATGTTCGAAACCCTCTCGACCTCCTTGACAGCTTCAGCAGCCACAAACGATTTGTTTTCGGCTTCTGCAACTCTGTAAGCAGCACAAACTGAAGCTTCCTCAACAGTTTCTCCAGGATGGCTGAAGCTTTGAACGAGCGTGGGCCTCCTCCAATCATTGGGTCTCCCGGCGAGATTCTTCGTGTCTGATAACAGAGCATCTGTTTTAATCTTGTAACAGTTTTGAACCTTCCATCCAAAATACGCTCAAGATTAGAATTTGGAGTTTCCGGTTTGCAACAGAACTACTGTAATGACATTCTGTGATTTGAAATTCGAGATGGAAAATAGGAATGCCCTTTCTATATATTTAAAGGGAGTGGTTCTAATGTGAACCATTCTTAAAATGAGAATATAGATATTAATCACAACCACCCATATATTTAGAAGTATATTAGAGCTCACTTAGCAAGTCAATAATGTGAAATGCATGAATGCACAATAATGCCTTTTGAATGGCTATAATTTGGCTCTGCGCTCCTATTTAAAGAAATGGTTCCCATTCGAACCAAATGCTATACATAATGATGCAATCTTAACAAAGATAATGTTCACCTACCCACGGTAAGCACATGTTAATATGTCCACCGCGTAGGTGGCATGCACACATTGGTGATGTATTTTTTTGAACATATTTACATCACCAATGTGTGCATGCCACCTACGCGGTGGGCATATTAACATGTGCCCACCGTGATTAGAGGAGCATTTCTAATCTTAACAAATAGAAGCATACTTATTACTTCCCGGAGAAGGGCAAAAAGAGAAGAAAGTGCAGTTCTTACAATTGTTTGCACACTCTTTAAAGAGGTAAATCTCGGCTTTTAGGCAGAAAAAACACTCACTTATTAGTTATTACTATATATCTTAACAAAAATAACAACTGAACTGTTCGACAGTGAATCCAGACATGGCAACCTGAGATTAAGAACAGTTTTCGCACCAAATCATTGGACAAATCAAACTCGGGGGAACAACATACATTCGTTAATAACATGATAAGATACAAACTTCACCTTTTCAAGTTTGTCTTGTTGCACAAGTCGCCTTAATCTAGAGCTCAACAACCTTCTGAAATTTAGGGGCACATGCATCCTTTGCTGTAAAAAGATGATATAAAAGAAAGAAAAATCCTATCATCCAGAATCAAGCAATATAGTTTTACTCACAGGCTTGGGCCATTTTTCATTGACATCATAATCCATCTCCAGTTTAGAATTGAAAAAAGAATTTAGACAATAACGATTTCGTGTAAATATGAAATTATGTTTGAACGAGTGATTGAAAATTACATTTTATATAGACCAAGAATGAGAATGCTTGCACATTGTTGGATATTTTTTTCCCAAGTTTTCCAGGGTATAATACTTATCAGTTGATATTGGTGTGAATCCACTTTCATATTTGATTGGTATACATGCTCAAGTATTCCTAATTCGTAAGATGAAAGCAATGGGTTTCACTAGTAGAATCTGAATGAAATGACTGGAAGGGTGACCGGTGAGTAAAACAATAGGGTTATTTTAGGATTGTGAATTGGACTTGTTGGGGACTTTGTGTATGAAGAACAATATATGGGAAATGAAATTCTAGTAATCTCCAATTAAAGTTTTTCCAAAAACAAGAAAGAAAAAAAAAATAAAAAAATCACTATTTATACATGGCATAAAAGTAGAAATGGGTGAAAACGAACCATACTGACATGGAATAAAAATTATAGTTGGCTAGGGCAAGAGAAAAATGCACTAATAGATCCAAATCATAGAGTAGCGACACAAACTCAAGGACACGGCCTTTTTTCCAGTCCACAAAGAAAGTCCACAAGTCCAATTTAAAACTATTTTGTATTTCAACCAATTGACATTTATAGATAGTGTAGTGATGGAAAAAACGAACATGAAAGTCAAACCTCAATATAGGTAGCAATTGTGCTACAATCTGATCCATTTGGCTCTCTAGGCGTAGATAACGCCTCGTATATCATCTCATTGTACCTGAGACAAAAGTAATTATGTACCTTTTGAGTGAGAAGGAAATAAAGAAACACTAGCCACTAACTCAATAGCTTTACCAACAATCAAAGCAAACCATCACAGTTATATCATAATCTTCTACAGTGAGTCTATAAAATAACTTATATCCTGCTCAGTTTAACCCTCATCACTGCAGTCCCATGCTACAATTGTTACAGCAAAGTCAACCACAAGGATGCAGTTCTAAATCAAGAACTTTTCAATATAAATAAATACACAGAGAGAACGGAAATCTTTTCCAAAGCTCATGCAGTGAAAACAAATGGCAAATCACATTTTCTACAAGCAGAAAGCAAAATCATAACCTCGAAAACTAACTAGAATTGAGCAAAAAGGCATGCATAAAGATAGAAGTATCAAAATGAATCTTTTTCTGTTAACAGTCAATCAAATTGCCACCATAACAATCTCCGTCTTATTATTATGTTTCCCGAAAACAAAGGAATTACTCTAGCAACTGAAAATGATGACAACTAGTGAGATAGATGTGTAAAAAAACACTTAGTGATATTCTAATTTATATATGAAGCCAATAAAATACTTACTTGGCAGCATTATTTCCCTCAACTGCAGGCCTACAAGAATCTGACATAACCACATCGACTGGAGCATCTTGTGAAGATGGAGTGAGGGTAGCAGAGGTCTGAACAACCGGCAGTGGAGTAGCAAGAACATCAGCATGATTTGCCTTTGGTTTCAGTCCCTTTAATTTATCTTTCTGAAGTAAACCACTTGCCACACTCAAGTTTCGCCATTTATCCTGAGAAAGCCAACCAAACTCAGTCGCATTCGGTTTTGTTTAAAGCTGCAACTTCACTTTTATTTGTTCTGACCAAATCATATTACTGATTCATAACAGTTAAGTGAGGAAGCTTATTATAATCAGCATATATCACACAGACACATAAACAAGACATGATGTGGTGAATCCAAATCTTGTCTCCAAAGGCCTCACCTGTTTGCTAGATAGGATAAGATTCTTTTTAGTTAGGGTGACATGATTACACTGTGGAGAGCAAAATGGTCTACGTTTTGTTGCCCCGTAAGATAGGATTTGTGTAAAGTTTAGTTCCTAGGTTTGTTTGCCATGACATTAGTTGAGGTAAAATCTAAATTTACCAGTTTCTCCCTTAAACTTTGCCCAATTTATTTGTGGTACGATACAACCTAATAAGTATAGTATTTGGGGGGTCATTTGGTCATTTCCTCAAGTTTTAACCGTAGGGATAAAAAACAAGTCACACCCACCCCCCAAGATTCTATAGTCTTGGGTATCCAAGACTAAATGCTTTTTCATCTAGGGCCGAGTCTAATCTTGAGGGCCGCAATCTTCGTTCACAAATGCAAGACCACCCAAGATTAAAGGTCTAATCTTATCTAATCTAGGCAAGAAAATGAGCCCAAAGTGTATAGCATCATGTTCATGGACAATTGCAGTATCATAAAAAGCTCTTTCTCTTGTCCCACTAAAAGACCGGACAGAACTTATTTCATCAATCCACAACACAGACAGACAGACAGACACACACACACACATAAATGCGCATTTGGCACTAGGACATGAAAAATGACTAAGTTAATCGTTGTACGATGTTAGTATTCCATTAAATGTCTTAAAGGTTGCAACTCTTAGAGCATTTCTTCTAGCAACCACGAGTCGTGATCTACATTTCTTATTTTCTTTGATCCTTAAATGAGACAAGCCAACAGGACATTTCTTCATATCAAACATCCTCTGAGAGGTACACCAGCAAGAAAAAATCACTTTGAACCCAGTGCAGCAACTCATGAACAGGTACCTTTTCATGAGTGTAATAAATCATAATGTAACAAGATACCCATCATTTTATTTTCTCACCATACAATTATCAGTTACAAACCTATTATGCACGCCAAGCACCAATAAAGACGAGAAAACACAAAAGGGGAAAAAGAGGATAATTTGGGCACATACTTTGAGATCAATGTTGGAGCGAGCAAACAGTAGGTGGTTGAATTCGGGATCTTTCTGTATGTTCTTCCACTTTCCGGTGCCGTGCTTCGCCACGCCGGCGCGGAGCGCCTCTTCCTCCTCCGACGTCCACTTCTGCTTCGGATTTCCCATACGAATCTAATAGATTACTTTCTTCATTCTGTGAAGAGGTTTTTATTATATCGTTTGATGGGTTGATAGGTTTTATGCGGCGCGTTGCTGGTGGCGGGACACTGGATAATCACGGCGATGCGGCGGAGGTGATTGTGAAAGGGGCCAACTGCGGAAATTTGAGAGTGCGAGGGACTGTTTAGCCAAAACAGAAATTAGTATACCACACCTTTTTTTTTGTTTTTTGTTTTTTAAAAAGATAAAATTCAATAAAAGAAAAAAAAACAAGTAAATGTTAAAAAGCAACAAAATAGTCAAATAAATCAACAACTCGGCTGAATCATTAGCACACCCCCAGACTTACGGTCAGTCAAGGTCACAAATTGGATCATAGTGAACGGGTTGAAGACGTGATTGGACAAGACCTCAGGGGCATGGGTCAACGAGTTGACATCGGTTCTTTGGGCATATAGAACAACCCCGAGGTCAACCATGAGAAAAACACCGTTCAATTTGTCTTATGGCATGAAGGCACTGTTGCCTATGGAAATCGAGCTGAAATCTCACATGTCGAGTGCATACTATAAGGAGCAGAATGAGGATTTGCCTCGAGCAGCCTTAGATACCATCAAGGAACTTAGGGAGCAAGCGTCGACTGGGTGGCAACTTTTGCAAATAGCGAATGTAGCTGCACATGACAAGAACGCCAAAATTCGACGATTCCATGTGGGCAACCTGATGTAGAAGAAGATCAAAGTTGAGCTCAACTGGAGGGATCTATATGTTGTTAAAAAAGTGCACACAAGAGGAGCATACTCGTTGAAGGACATTGATGGAAGGCCTTTGACCAGGTCATTGAATGTTCATAAGTTGAAGAAATATTATGCTTAAATATTTTCTTTTTGATGCTTGATGTAATTGGTATACAGTTGGAGATATTATTTAAGATATGCAGTTACTCTAAATTGCTATGTTTGGTTTGTTTGCATTTGCCCCGTAATATTCCATTCGATTGTGGATTTTTGGAGTTATTATTTATTTTTCCTGATTATTATTTGTTCCTCTTTATTATTATTATTATTATTATTATTATTATTATTATTATTATTATTATTATTATTATTATTATTATTATTATTATTATTATTTGCTAATGTGATTATTGTTATTATTATTACTCCATATTTATTTGTCTAATTGCTTATAAATGTTTAAATGTTTATTATTATTATTATTATAAAATAAATATATTATTTAATTAAATATCTAAATTGAATAATTGTTTATATGTGTATTATTATTAAATAATAAAATGTGTTTAATTGAGTATTAGTATTAATATTAAATGTGTGTTATATATATAATGTCGGTTGATATATTTTAACTATTTCTGAACGTCTCAATCGTATCTGAGCCGTTTTCCGAGCGAGTCTAAAGTTTGATAATTGGCCGAATCTATCGGTAATATTTTTTGGTCCATTCAGATATTTATTTCCGGCTCTTTCTACCATTTAATTTCCAGCCCAAATGATTCAAAGTGTGTTGGCCCATTTCCTTGGAAAATATGTTAGTCCAATGTGATGTATTATTTATGGCCCATTTGAGCTGACCTAAGAGGAGTTAAATCTCGGCCCTTTTTTTCTCATTCTTCGCGCAGACCCTAGCTTCTTTTTCAGTTTTTATTTTAAAATATTTTTATTTTAAAATATTTAAATAATTAAGTGTTTAATTATTAAAAAACATTATAAAACGTATTATGTTAATACGTTTTTATAAAAAATTAATAAATTAATAAATAAAACGTATTGTGTTAATACGTTTTATATTTTAAAATTAATAAAAAAAATAAATATGTAGTATTTATTTTGTATTTCGTGCTCGTTTGGGCTCGTCTGAACTCGGAATTTAGTTTCGTTTTTTCCTATATGTAGCTAACGGATCCCTCTACACGCTTAAACTCGGTTCTCGGTAAACGAAGTCACACGCGACCTTGTGGGACCCACGTAAGCGGCTTTTTTATTTATTTTACTAATATGCACCCTCGAACTCGAGCTTCTCTAAATAAATGATCGGGACCTCGAAATAATAAATCGATGCCACAAACGACTTCTCCTCTTCTCGTGCTTTCTCGAAAGCACTTTTCATTAATGATCGACTCGCTTCTCGAGGCCCGACGGAACACCCGAAGTCGCCTCTTCTCGCTTATTTTGCTACTATTCCCACGGGAATTTAAGTTTCTCTAATTAAATGCTCGGAACTCCGAAATACTCGATAAATGCCTCGTATGACATCATGCCTGAATTATCTACACGCCCCAACTCGATTCTCGGTAAACTGAAGTCACACGCGACCTTGCGGGACCCACGTAAACGGCTTTTTCATTAATTTTACTAATATGCACCTCCGAACTCGAGCTTCTCTAAATAAATGATCGGGACCTCGAAATAATAAATCGACGCCACAAACGGCTTCTCCTCTTATCGTGCTTTCTTGAAAGCACTTTTCGTTAAAGATCGACTCGCTTATCGATGCCCGACGGAACACCCGAAGTCACCTCTTCTCGCTTATTTTGCTACTATTCCCACGGGAAATCAAGTTTCTCTTCTAATTAAATGCTCGGAACTCCGAAATACTCTATAAATGTCCCGCATGATATCGTGCCTGAATTATCTACATGCCCCAACTCGATTCTCGGTAAACCAAAGTCACATGCGACCTTGCGGGACCCACGTAAACGGCCTTTCATTTATTTTACTAATATGCACCCTCGAACTCGAGCTTCTCTAAATAAATGATCGGGACCTCGAAATAATAAATCGACGCCAGAAACGACTTCTCCTCTTCTCGTGCTTTCTCGAAAGCACTTTTCGTTAATGATCGACTCGCTTATCGATGCCCGACGGAACACCCAAAGTCTCCTCTTCTCGCTTATTTTGCTACTTTTCCCACGGGAATTCAAGTTTCTCTAATTAAATGCTCGGAACTCCGAAATACTCTATAATTTTCCCTCATGACATCGTGCCTGAATTATCTACACGCCCCAACTCGATTCTCGATAAACCAAAGTCACACGCGACCTTGCGGGACCCACGTAAACAGCCTTTCATTTATTTTACTAATATGCACCCTCGAACTCGAGCTTCTCTAAATAAATGATCGGGACCTCGAAATATAAATCGACGCCACAAAGGGATTCTCCTCTTCTTGTGCTTTCTCGAAAGCACTTTTCGTTAATGCCCAACTCACTTATCGATGCCCGACGGAACACCCAAAGTCTCCTCTTCCCGCTTATTTTGCTACTATTCCCACGGGAATTCAAGTTTCTCTAATTAAATGCTCGGAACTCCAAAATACTCGATAAATGCCCCGCATGACATCGTGTCTGAATCATCTACTCCCAACTCGATTCTCGATAAAACGAAGTCACACGCGATCTTGCGGGACCCACGTAAACGGCTTTTTCATTTATTTTTCTAATATGCACCCTCGAACTCGAGCTTCTCTAATTAAATGATCGGGACCTCAAAATAATAAATCGACGCCACAAACAGCTTCTCCTCTTCTCGTGGTTTCTCGAAAGCACTTTTCGTTAATGCTCGACTCGCTTATCGATGCCCGACGGAACACCCAAAGTCTCCTCTTCTCGCTTATTTTGCTACTATTCCCACGGGAATTAAAGTTTCTCTAATTAAATGCTCGGAACTCTGAAATACTCGATAAATGTCCCGCATGACATCGTGCCTGAATTATCTACACGCCTCAACTCGGTTCTCGGTAAACAAAAGTCACACGCGACCTTGCGGGACCCACGTAAACGACTTTTTTATTTATTTTACTAATATGCACTTTCGAACTCGAGCTTCTCTAAATAAATGATTGGGACCTCAAAATAATAAATCGACGCCACAAACTGCTTCTCCTCTTCTCGTGCTTTCTCGAAAGCACTTTTCGTTAATGCTCGACTCGCTTATCGATGCCCGACGGAACACCCAAAGTCTCCTCTTCTCGCTTATTTTGCTACTATTCCCACGGGAATTCAAGTTTCTCTAATTAAATGCTCGGAACCCCAACTCGATTCTCGGTAAACCATAGTCATACGCGACCTTACGGGACCCACGTAAACAGTTTTTTATTTATTTTACTAATATGCACCCTCGAACTCGAGTTTCTCTAAATAAATGATCGGGACCTCAAAATAATAAATCGACGCCACAAACGGCTTCTCCTCTTCTCGTGCTTTCTCGAAAGCACTTTTTGTTTTTGCTCGACTCGCTTATTGATACCCGACGGAACTCCCGAAGTCGTCTCATTAAATAAGCTAATATATAGCGAAAAAAAAAATTAAATATAAATAATTAATTTTAATTATAAAATGTATTTCCGTAATACGTTTAACAATTAATTAATTACGAAAATATGTTTTATAATTAAATATAAATTATAAAATTAATTTTATTTATAAAACATATTTTAAAAATGCGTTTTACAATTAATTAATTGTAAAACATATTACGAAAATACATTTTATAATTAAATATAAATTATAAAATAAATATTATTTATACAACGTATTTGTAAAATATGTTTTACAATTAATTTACGTGTAAAACGTATTCTCTGAATACGACCTTTTGATTTTGGTCCACATTTTAATTTTTTTCTTTTTTTTTTGTCCACTCATTTTTTACTTATTTTTTTTAGTAAGAAAATCCTGTTCCCGTCGCCACAAAAAAAAAAAAAAGAAAAACGACCGCTCTTTCTCTCATCTCCATCGCAGACGCATTGTGCTCCCATCTCTGTCGCTCTCCATCTCTGCCGGGAACACCATTCCACCGGACCACCGCCGCGAAACCCTTCCCCCGCCGTCGCTCAATGGCCGCTGGCCATCGCGACACCGCACAACGCTGTTTTCCTCGTCGCGAGACCACAAGCAGACAGTCCTCCCGTACGCAGGTCCCGGCGTGTCCCCGTTCATCGCTGCCCTATCACGCTGCCCCTTTTCCTGTGTTTTCCGGCGAGTT